AGATCGTGTGTAGCACTTTAGGGTCGAATACCACAAAGCTCTCGTTGTCACACAATAGATTAACATGTTTTGAATTAATCTAAACAGAAAATTAGGTAAATTAAAAGACAAAAAAACAATTAAAATTGAGTTGTTTAACAGATGGATGAAACGTTAGGCTCAAGTATTTCTCAGGAAATATTAGAATACTAGATCTAGCCATTAGTTAGAAATTATTAAAGAACCGTTCTTAGAACTCAAATCACAAAACTATAATCAACCAACTCTCGTCTGAATTGACTAATTAAAACTCTACAATCTATCATTACTGTTACAAAGTAAATAATTAAGATATTTCTTATTTCAAATAGCATACTCAAATTTTATTATTTGACATTTTTATTTCTCGATTAGAGATCTTTATTTTTCGATTAGATATCTTTATTTTTATTTATGATGCTTAGGATATGTTGTTTTGTTTTATTTCAAGTCAATTTATTGTTTTTTGAAGTATTCCTTTGTTTAAACTTTAAAACTTTCACCATTTTTTATTTATAAAATGATATATAATATGTATACGAAATTATATTACACTAGATAAGGACCCGTCCGATGGACAGGTTTAATTTTTATAAAATTAAAATCAAATTTAACAAAAATAATTAATTAACAATGTTTTAAGTAGAAATTACTCTCAAAAGTAAGAAAAATAAATATTTACTTTCAATGTTGCATTGTTTCTTTAACCACCAAAATTATTGATTCAAAAATTATTTTGAATGAAAAATATATCACATATCAATAACTCATGGTATACTTATATGAAGAACTAAAATTAAAAATATTCATCATCAAGTTGGCGAATGAAACCAAAGTGGCTTTTAATTAGACACGTTAAAAATATAAAGATAATAAACCGACTAAATCCTTTAGCCTTTCAAGCTAACGTTGCGGGTTCAATTCCTACATACTTGATTGCAATGACTTTATGATCAATCAATACAAATTGATAAGGTTAAAAAATTATAAGTACGATGATATATGAATCTTATTTAATTCAAATATGAACACACAAATTTAAATAAACAATTTAAAATAGTATAATTAAATTTAAAATATCAAAAACCAAGAAAATGCATATATGGTTCTTACGTATTCAAGATTTTCAAATAAACAATATAAAACTATATTTAAAATCATCACATATTTCTAATTATAAAATAAAATTTATATAAATAATCTAAATTTGTAATTTAAATCATGACACATGTCGCTATCTAAAATCAATAGAACTATGATATATGATAAAACTTATATAATTCAAACTGAAAGTAGAAACCAAAATAAATAATTTAAAGATATAATAATTAAACTAAAAAATAGAAATACGATGATATATAAATTTTGGTAATTTAAATATGAAAAAAGAAATTGAAATAAACAATCTAACAATACTACAATCATAATTGAGGACAAACCAAAAAACACAGTTAAGTAAAAAAAATATTACAAAAAGGGAACAAAAATTGATCTCTCATATTTCTAAATGAAAAAATAAACTGAAATAAATAATATGAGGATTAGTTTAATTAAATAATCACATATTTCTAATTGGAAAGGAATTGAGATAAATAATATCAAATTTTAAATTAAATCATGACACATGATAAAATCTTTGACTGATGAAGGTTCATGATAATATTAATTACTAACGTTGAGAAATGAAAATATATCATATTAGTTATATAATAAGATATGTTTCCTTCTTAATAAATTTGCCAAATTTTTTTCTTGTTTTAATTGAAATATATATATTTTAGTTATTAAAAACGTGTAATTTCCTTATTTTTATCTTTTGACATTTTTAAATTGTTTATAGAAATACTAATTACTTACAACTATCCTTATAATTGTCTTTTACATTTTTAAAATTGTTTAAATTTATAATTACTTACAATTATCTTTTTTATATTTTAAAAAGAAAAATTTTGTTTTACACGTGTCAAAATCTAAGATCAATAGATTTGCCACGTGTCAGGATCTTATGAGTTATTAACTTTGAAAACCATACTTTATATCATAAGATAATAGTTATGGGTTATAATATGCACTTGATCCTTCTAATTTTTCAATCGTCATTGGACATTTATACTTTAATTAATACCAATGTAGTCTCGAATCGTAACCCTGTATATTCTGTCAA